GGGAGGTCGCCCCGGGAGGCCCAGGTCGTCGTTCTGACTGACAACAATCCGCCCTGGCCCTGAAAATCGCTCCGAATTCGGATGAAAAGCCTCTTGCGCTGGCTTCTTCTTCCTGTCTCTCACCTCTTTCTCTCCTTGTCTCTCAGCTCTCCCCGTCGTGTTCTCTGCCTTACGTGTAACCACCTCTCCCCCTTCTCCCAGTCTCTGATACCTGATTCAGCTTCTCCCCGGCTGCCTGCACGCAGTGTCTCTCGTGCTCCGAGTGTTTCCCTCCTTTTCCCGGCTGCTTCTCCTCTCTCTGTGAACTTCTGTCTGTTTCAGAGCAGGAGTCCGTTTTCTGGGTTTCTCTGTTTCCATTTCCTGTCTGTGGTTTGGTTCAGTACCCCTGGTCTCTGGGTCTGGTTCTCAGGCTCTCTCCCTGGCCTGTCTCTCTTTCCCTGCTGTGTGTCTCTGTCTGTTTCTCTCTCGTTTCCCGTTATCTCTTGGTCCTTTTCAGTCCTTAAGGGGAGAACCTTCCAGCCTCCTGACCCAAGTGCAATGGAATCTGGCCCCAGAGAACCCCGTCTCCGTTTGGAGTTCCTGGTGATGTTTGCTTGGAGACGCCACAGGCAGTGGGGGTGGGGAGTGACCTCTCCTCCCGGTGCAGGTGTCAGGGGACTCAGACTGTCCCCTGCCCAGGGCGGTCTAGTTCAGAGGGCGCTGGAGCCTTCTTCTGGAGTGGGGGGTGTTGCTAACTTGGGCTTCCAGGCCCTTCTGTCTCTACTCAGACCCCGCTGCACCAGCACCCAGAGCCCTTACACTCCCTGCCACTCCGCCCAGACCTAGAGCCCCGTAGAGGTGTGGGCCTTATGGGAGAGGAAAAGGGCTGAGTTAGGGGAGGAGGTGCCCACGGGAGTGACAGGAGTGTGCTGAGAAAGGCAGGGCAGTGCCTGAGGGGCAGACGTGAGGATCAGGAGTGACAGGGAGGTGAAGGGACCAAGCAGGCACCAGTGCCCTACGGTGGGGTGAGAGGATGAGGGAGGGGCTGGTGCTCTGCCCTTTTGGGTCTCTGGCATCTACCTGATCCAGATCCAGGGTTACCAGGCGAAAGACAGGATGCCTAATGAAATCTGAATTTCAGATCAACAACGAATGATGCTCTTTTAGTGTAAATATGCCCCATGCACTATTTGAGACATATGTATACTAAATTTAATTTGTTGTTTGTCTGAAACCGGGCATTCTGTGGTTTTCTTTGTTAAATATGCCTATCTTTCCCTTATCCTTACAGTGTCGTAGGAGCAGACACCACCCCCCATTTTCCCAATGGAGAAGCCGAGATCCCTAGCCCTGGACTCACCAGGGGAAGTCCAAAGGGGCTCCTGGAACCTGCCTCTGGGCCCCCAGTTTTTGCCAAGACACCAAACTGCCCTTCTGTTTCCTTCCTGCAGATGGGGATGGGGCGAGGAGCCTGGAAGTGGGTGGTCCCAGTCCTGGCCAAGCACACCAGGCCCTGTTATCAGCATCCATCATGGCCCTGGGGGCCCCAGCATTCTTGGTGGGTGAGGTCAGGTGGGGGTGTGAGCACAGTGGGGCTCTCAGACGAGCAGAGAAGGGGGCTGTGCTTGTCTAGAGGAGGGAGGGGCCTGGACAAGGTCGGCATCTTCTGTTGGACACTTCATCTGGTGACCGAGTGGAGTGTGTGCACATGAGCACACATAGGCTCCGGCGTGCCTGGGCATGGGGGCGGGGAGACCCTGTGACTTCATGTAGTCAGTGGGTCCCCCTAGATTCCAAGTCAGATTCCATCTGGGGTTTCCCAAGCCACTTGGAAATGTCTTCATATGCGCTGGCCGGGTCCTCCAGCCTGTCCACCAAAGAAGGAGTTGATTGTGCGTTCTACCAGGGCCCAGCTGGAAGGGCTTCCAAGGTCAGCAGGCCCCCGCACTCGTTTCTCAGAGAAGGCAAGTGGGGTCCAGAGGGCAGGAAGGCTAGGTCACACGGGACAGGAGGGGCTGAGTCAGGACCAGAAGCACGCAGTGCTTGGACCCCACACCCAGCACAGGTGGTATATATCCCTGTTGCTCTGCTGTCGGATAGAGGTTGAGGTTTGGGGTGGAATGGGTGGCGTCACCCAGCCTGGCTCAGCCCAGCCCAGGCGCCAGGCCCTGAGTGAGGGGGAAGAGCCAGGCCAGAGTTCTGTTCCACAGAGGATTGCCCCTGCCCCCCGACTGTGAGAGATGCTATTGTCTGGCATGGCTGGTGGCACTGAGCTGGGAATCTCTTTTAAGAGCTAGCCAAACACTCTGCTCTAGCCCAGCTCCGCCTGTAGGGGCAGTATTGTGTCGTGTTAGCAAGCGTCCACTTGCTGTGGTGCGCTGTGTGACCTCAGATGAGAAACTGAATTTCTCTGTGCCTCTCTCAACTCATGTATAAAAGAAGTGGAAGGACTTGGATAACAGTACTGCCCTCATCACACCAGCCATTATGCGGATGAAATAAGCCACTCAGTTCTGGCAAATAAATGCTAGCGGTTTTATTCCTGGCAGAGGAAGAGGCCAACCGTTCCTGTCTCCGTTTCAAGCGGATCAGAGCAAGGTGCCAAGGATTAGGGGGTCTTGTTTCCCTCAGGACACTGCTCTCGCCCCCTGGACGGGCTGGGGGAGCTCAGCCCCAGTTTCCCCAGAAAGCCTTGCTTGTTATTCCCCTCTATTGTCCAATACGTGCTCTGGGCCCCATCTGAGGGCCAGGTCAGACAAGGCGGGGCCGGAGACCGACCTCAGAGGAAGACTTGGTACTGACCACTCCGGGACATGGCATCGGGCCTGGAGAGTTGAATAATTCCCTCTGCTCCTGGTTTGCCTCCTTCCTTTCTGCTCCTTGGCTGCCCACCGGACACCGCCTGGGTCTATGGCACGGTGGATGCCTGCCTCTTCGTGCAGACTGAGTGCTCATGGGGACTGGAGGCTGTGTCTATCACCAGTGTCACCTCCCTTTATCTCCACTGCTGTCGCCTCCCATGCAACCGTCTTCAACAAGGCCTGTAGCTTAATGTCCCTGGTGCCCCGTTGGGCATGTCACTCTCTTGCTCCCTAACCTTCAGAACTGCCACCTGAGTAAAGTCCCATCACAGGGAGACCCTCAGGGTCTTCCATAACCTGTTTCCCCCCCACCCCCGTTTTCCAGTCCATCCTCCTATCCTTTCTGCTTTCCTCCTTGCTTCTGCCTGGGCAATTTTCTCCACCCAGAACACTCTTCCCCATATCTCTCCCCGAAACCTAACAAATTCTTGCCCATCCTTCAAGGTTCAGTCCAAATGCCTCCTCCTCCAGAAAACTTACCTGGACTTGGATCTTCCTGCAAGAAGTGCTGTCCGCTCCCTGCTTACCCCCACCCCAGCTTCTTCCCCTGGTCTCCCGACAACCCTTGGCCGTTTTCCCCTGAAGATGTGTGGACATGTCCTAATGTTCCCACCAGGCTGCGGGGGCCGGCCCAGCTCTGATTCAGCTCCATTTCCCCATGGTGTTTTGTTCCAAGTAAACACTGGCTCTGTTGTCACTGGTTAGGGGCCTTCCTGGGTCAGGGGCCAGATTTCTCCAAGGGGGCAGGGAATTCATTTCCAAAGTCCTCGAGGAAGGACTTGTGGTCGGAGGGTGAGGGGAAGTCCAGACTGTCTGGGCTCCCCAATCACCACTGGCTGTGTGGTTTGAGGAACTCACCTCTTCTGCCTCTCCCCCACCCCATAAGGGCCAGCACACACCCTCCCCCAGTCTCCCAAGTGAGTACCATGACTCCCTAAGGATGGGGGGAGGGTGCTGTAAGGAATGTTTGGCTTATGACCCCCCTTCCAAGAGGAGGCAGCGTGCCGGTAGGTCACCAGTAGGACTTCTTGGCCATGAGATCAGGGTCTGAGCCTCCTTCTCAGCAGAGCAAGAAAGTGGGGTCCCCAGGGGAGCCCAAGTTGGAACACAGAATCCCACCAGCTCCTTACTCATTCTCGGGGTGATGCGCACGGGCATGGGGAGACCATTGCTGGAGATCTGGAGTCGACCCCAAGCCAGAGCTGCCAACCTGCGGGCTAGGAGGATGGAGGGAGGGCGGACCACCTGACAATTAGCGGTGCAGGGAGCTTATTATCCTAAGGAGCAGTTGGAGGGGCCTC